TGTAATCATATTTAAATGAAACTTTAAGATTATAATTAGCGCATAAATTTTATGATTTTTTAATTAATATGCGGTTAATCTTCATGCTCTAAAAGTTCATTTCTCTAAAAGTTTGATTTTTTGCAAAGTTTAGATAATTATATTGTACTGTAAACATTACATTTCAAAGTGCGCGATTTTTTTACATATAGCTTGAACCTTCTTTTTTAAAACAAGCCAAGATAGAAGTCGATAGGATTATTTGTTTAAAAGTTATGAATTTTTTCGTAGATGGGACATATATGTCCCGGAGGTACGAAAAGGTTAAAATAGTAAAAGAATTCTTTTACATATATAGTTATTATTATTCTTATTTAATTAACGCGAAGAAATATTTTGATTGAAATACATGCGACGAGTTATTATAATGTATATGATGTTGAATCAAAAGTCACACAGGAATTACGAAATATTTTATTTACAGAGAGATATAATGCCTTCATTTCGCTCTCATCAGTTCGTACATTTTTTAATAAATAGGTATATGGCTGTTTTGTCGAATGAAATTTCATCAATACTCGCTACACTTGGTTACACGTAACATTTTCATCTGTAAATGACATCAAGCAGATACTTCTTCGCCGGAATACAGTGCTGCCATTTGCATTTTATTGTTCTCAACGCGAACAGTAAAACCGTATTATTCGAGTGGTCGTTTATTGAAATAACTGTTGAAATACACACCACGTTGGAATACATATTTTAGTCGTCTTCTTATTCATACATTTAGTTGACGTTATATTTTTTTATTAAGTGAGCTATTTATAAGCTCATTTTATTATACGTACGAATCTCGTGTTAAGACATAAAGAGAAACGAGGAAAAATGTTTCTACAGCTAGTTTAATTTCGCCCAACCCAGGATCTCTCCGTTTCTTCGTCTTCCCTTTCAACGTAGAGAGATGATTAGCTTCGTAAAAGAATAACGTTCGCATTTGCGATGGCAGCTACATTTCCTTGAATTTTCGACACCGTGAGTTTCACGGCAGACACGCGATATCGCTCTCCGCATATTTGAGAGAACGTTGCGGTGCACTTTCATCACAATGATACTCAGCGGACCGAATAAAATCGAAAAAAAATATGGAAGAAAAAGAAAAAGAGAGAGATGAGGAAGAAAAGAGGAGAAGAATCGTAACGGTCGGTACTTTCGCTTGCTGTTCATAGTTCCTACGTGGTGGTCGAAGGTATATCTCCACTCGCGGAATCGGGACTCTAAGATATCGTTCTCGATCCATGAAACGCCGCTGACGAGGACGACCTAAATCCAGGAGATTCACAGAATCGTCTCTTTTGAGTCGTGAGAAGCGAAAGCTTCTTTTCGCTGGGAAAGGCGAGCGCAGAATTGGTCGGATGAACGCGTCGTCCGAGTGTATGAATGGCCTAACGAGCAAATATAAATTAGATTGAAAAGTCGACCATGAAAAATGTCCCGCCCGATTTGGGATACTGCAGCAAAAGAAGACGGTGGTAATGGCCATCATGCTGCGGCCATTGACACGTCGAGCACGGAAAAGGTTTAAATCAACGTCACTTGCCCGCAATATATCGTCATCGATGTTGCAATAGGTCATATGTCAAGGGGATATTTCGTTTCAGCGGCTACGTATTTTTAATCGACAGCGCGGAAGTGTAATTATGTGTTATAAAAGAACAGAGTTCACGTGGTTTCGAAAAAAGTAGATGTATTACATTCAAGTAATAATAATATTTCAATGACAATAATAATACTAATGTACTTGAAAATGCAATCATAGTCAATTTATATACAATTAGCGATATAATGCTAATTGAAATACTAATTGGAATATATAATATTAATTTCCCTGGATGATTCGCATGTATATCAACAAATTGGTGCAGTTTTAATTAAGATACCAACGTTACGATGAAGTGCGAAAGAATGTTTCGGAAGGAAAATGGGGAATTTGGTCGTTGCATGCCAAGAGAGAGATGCAAGTGCGGGTGGAAGAGAGACGAGGGGGATGCACACGCTCTCGTAAGAAGACACCACTGCACGCTGGGGAACGATAACGGCGGTCGGGCGTTCCCGGATGCACGCCAGAAACCGAATGTAAACGGCTGCCGCACAACTTAATTAATTAAGTTGTGCCGCGCTCTTTACGTTATCGCGCCGCCGCCTCCGATACATTATCGTATCGGTTTTGCTCCTCCGTCGAGAATTTCAGGGAACACGGATGTCTTATGCACCATGTATATTAAACAAAATTTTTGTTAAACCAAGCTCGATACCAAGCTTGAAGAATATTACGATTATCGATGCACATACACATACACAAACATTTTGTACTTTAACGTACCTCATCAAAGTTATCGTACGATTTTATAATTAACACAAATATAAAACATGCAGAATCCTTGGACTTAAACATTTGTCAATTGAAGCTTTTACAAAATTGATTCATTTTGTCTTAATGATAATGTATGATGTGCATTTTTCAATTGCTGTCAAGTTTTCTTTCAAGACTTTACACTAAACGACAAGGCTATGATGTATATCGCACGTTATCATATGATTAGGCTTTCTAGGGAAATATCCCCGGAGACACTTTCAAAACTTTTGCTATTATATATTTTTTATTCATAACGAACGACGCCCGCATAAATATTATCTCATCGCTCTCCGAAAAGTGTATATATATATATATATATATATATATATATATATATATATATATATCCGTTTAATCTTATATTACCTGAATAATTCAAAATTTCATTCTATTTACGGTACGCGCGATTATCAATCATTATTTTACATTTCGTTTCACAATTCATGAGGGAGTAATGATAAAATTGCAAATGTGGCCTAAATATTAACGATATTTCATTATTATTATATATTAATATATTGACGAATAATGATATTTTTATTTTTTTCTTCACTTATTTTTTATTTCATTATTTTTGGTAAATTTCTTTGTTTACTTATTTCTTTTTATTTTGTTTCTTTTACTGTAATCTTTTTATTATCAATTTCTTTTATTCGTATTGCTTTTCATTCTAAGGTCACACTATAGATTATTTAACGCTGCATCTTCTGTGGTATTTATGTTTTTACAGACACAATACAGATATATCGGCGAGAGTGATCCCACGGTTGGCGGATCATAGCGTATCGTGATTCGCCCAGAAAACTGACATCGATCAATCATATCGCAGACGAGTGTCGGTTTCCACGAAACCTCCCTTGACGTTCGTCACGTTTTATTACAATGCTTTTATACGCCCGAATGTGCACATAGCTCGGTTACGAGATATTTTCCCGAAAAAAAAGAGCTCGCCCTGCAAATCATGATCTGCGACGAATAATGAAATTTTGGCATCGCGAACTCGTACTTTCTGCTGAAAAAAAAATAACATAGCGCGACAAACTAAATGCACGGTTGAATATTTAAGCAAGATTGTATTTTTTGACTCTCGATCCTTGTACCTTTTACTCATCTTTCCATATCAGCTCTGAAATAACGAATTGAAACTTTCATCACCTCTCTGACCTGGTTCTTGTTGTACCTGCAAATTGCTATTAAGTGATGTTTCTATCGTGAAAAATGTTGACTTTATAAATTTCCAAGAATAGATTTATACATTTCGCTCTATTCGCGAGGATTTAGAACGATTTTAATGAGCATAAAAATCGTTAACGCGACCGTAGGACGTCTCGCAAATAAAACTTCGTGGTTAAAATTTATATGGTTATACATCGAGTATTTATGACACGGATCAGTCGAGGAATATGGTTCGTAAAAATCATAACTCTCAATCATCAAAAGCCTTCGTGCGAGTTACAACTTACATAAATTTACTTGAATTTTTATATCATAAATATTATATTATAAATATATTTGTATACCATAAATTATATCGCGATATAAGTAGCGTGCTAACCGTATCGATCGTAGATCGAACGTAGATCGATCCTTATATCAGTAAACTCCTAGAATTATAATATTTCTCTTATAATTAAGCGAGAACATTCTGTCCTTCGCGCAAACTTATATCTTCCATTGTGAACCACCGTCGCTTTTCTTTTATTTTCGCCTATTCAGTGCCAGAAGCAGCGCAATTAAATTGAATCTTGTAAAAAATTGGCCCATGCTGAATCGCGGAATCCCCGACCGCGATCGTGGAAACTAGTTTCACGAGAGGCGAGCTATCGAGAAGTAATATAAACTTTATATCCCTCTTCACACGAACGAGAAACTCGTAAGACAAATATATGTCGAGACTGTCGTTTCCGGTTCGCGCAACGGCTTACGACGGCAATGCTCCACGGGGCTACAATGTAAACATATATCGTCAAAGTGTATACAGATATGAACTTATATATGACGTGTCTATACTACGTGTATATGACACACACGTGGTATATATGAGTATATACGTTCGTAGAGAGAGTAACCAAGTTTTCAGATTCCGCCGTAAAAGTGGACGGTCATCGTAAAAGAATTGCGTTAAACTTAATGTTCGGCCGTTAAGAAACGTCTTGATAAAATAAAATCTTAATCCCGTATCTCGCCCTCGCCCTATTCTAGGAGAGAAGATTTAATTTTCTCTCTCTCTCTCGCCGCCTATCCTGGACAGAAAGGGTTCGTTGCTCTCCCTATTCGAGATCAGTCTTAACGATTTAGTGGACAGGCGTATCTCTCGCGTTTAATCCTTTCGTATCCAAATTTTTCTCCTCGCGAGATGATTTTATAGTCGAAAGGGCCAGACAATAAACGGCGTAATTCGCAACAAGATATTTTCCTTTCTCGCAAACTATCTCTTTCTTCTACAACGATCCTCGCAAGTTTGCTTAAAATAGTCCCAACATTAGGAAATTTACTTGGTAGTAGTAGATCTAAGTTTGAACAACTTTCCAACTTTGTAAATTTAAGTTCCGCAATGTCGTTCTCGATTCATTTCGAGTATCTAACGCTTTTGCCTGTACCTTTTCAGCAAAAACGGATACGTGTGCGTCATGTTCCATAGGAGAGACGAACACGTAATAGAGATGCAACTGTCGGAATGGCGCCAACAGTCCGACGACATATGCAATGCGAGTACGTTCAATTCGCACACGATGCCGTACACGACGTTCATCAGTAAGTAAATTCTGACCTTCTAATCGAATTACGCATTGTCGTCGCAATATCACGTCGCAATAGTGAAGTAACTAATTGGGCTTTAATGCGGGGTGGCAACTTTCCGAGAGTCGAGCGAATGTAAATATACGCAAATGTGATTACGCTTAACAGTGTTCAGCGTTGACAGATCATGTTATATATATATATATTTGTTACTACGGCTTTTAATTAACGCAGTTAAACGTGGACCATCCCACTATTAATACGTCCCAGCATTTTTGCTTTGTCGGCATTATAACCGTAATTAATCGAGTAAATTAATTTGCCGATATTCCGATAGAAGCGGCTCATAAATGAAGTTGCAGTTTCTTTTGGAAGTTGTCAAAGAGCGATTCTCTCTCTTTCTCTATCTATCTCTCTCTCTCTATTAGAGAGTAAGTTAACTGCATTACCGTTCGATTAATATTCGTGGCTTCTTAATTTAACATTCATCCGATATCGCCTTTATTCCGGAAGCGCGCGAAATAATACATATTTCGCAATGCATATTCTCCGAGAATGTAAAATTTCTTTATGATTCGCGCGGGAGTTTCATTATCATTATCATAAAGTAATATTCGCGTTTCTTTTTTTGCCAAGATTAAATAGATTGGACGTTGGAAATTCGATCACGATCCGGAAACCGGAATCAGAAATAAACGGTTTGCTCGAAGGTGATTTCCGGATTCGCGCCGGCCTCCCCCTGGCTTTTGGTGCCAACTTGAGCCCTCCGTTTTTGTTCCGATTCATTGCTCGCGTCCCCTGCTTTGTCTCGATCTTATCGAATTACTCTGACAGAGGATAAACGAGTCGAAAAGAGATTCACGCAAACGGAGCAGGTATCCGATACACCGCTTAATGATGCATTTACAAACATTTTTTGTTAAATAATTGTTAAATAATTGCATATAATATCCATTTTATATTGACGTATCGTGTTCAACTTTTTTTTAAACATTTAGTAAATTGCGCTGTTAATAAAAATATATTGCATTGCTCACAAGACATCATATCATAACTTTTTGGAGAAAGGAAAACTCTGGGACTCGGAATTTCGAATAAAACATGATTCATAGTCTAATAGAAAATAGAAACGTTTTGTTTACCTCCCTAAACTAAGATATTGATCATGAATTCAAAGTTGTCAAATTATAAACTCGCTCTGTCGCAGTTTAGTTTCCTGAAATGCACACACTCGTTGCTGATTTTGATCTCATAAAGTCTTTTCAATTTTTGATGCACTTTCTAGCGTTTACAGTACATAAAGTCGTGGATTCTCCGCGCTTTGCTCCATCCACAGATTCCTTGATCAATTTGAAGTCGATTTTTCCTTCGCGAAAGTTTGATGAAAGTTCCAGTAACCTTCCTACGTTCGACTTTAAATACCCCTTTGTATAACTAATCCTCAACTTTCAAGATTCTTTCAAAGCAAAGTCTATTTAAGATTAAACGATGCGAGAGTGAGAGAGATTTCATTATCTATTTTTATCTCGAAGTTTGTTTTACGAAATTTTCTAAGTTAAATATGATTGATGTCTCGACATTTATCGTTTGAATAGATCTGTCCAAAAATATGTATATCGCTCGACGGGGAAATATTTATGAAAAAAAGGCCGACGAACTCATGGGAGAAGTTTGTAAATGACAGAGTTTAACAATCAATTCGATAGGCGCGACTTTACGAGACCATAAAGGATCATATGGCGGATCCGTCGTAAAGTCTCTCTCCTGTCGTCGGCTCGTCTTTCAGTTTCTCCCTAGTCGATTCCGGTAACGTTGACGAAGGACGATGTCGTTCCGCCGGTGCGGAATTTATCGCGCCGCCATTCGCACTCGTCTTTCCCTTTTGTGTGTCGTGGCACTCTCTCGGTGCGGATACACGTGGGTGCTATTGCGTTATCACCAGAAATCGCTCGGCTGAGAACTGCATCGTGTAAAACAGCGTTTCCCAACCTTTCACCTGCACATTTAGAATTTAAAAAAAAAGGGACGCGTATTTCTTTATTGTATATGCGCAGGATTTCACGCATCTTGATTTTAGTGCTAAATACTTTGATCAAAATTAAAAGCTCAAAGTCCAAATGGATTTCTCTTGTAATATTGTAGATTACTACTATATTAAATCTAATATTATATTAATTACTTGAATAAATTTAAATAATATTAAACTAGTAAACGGTTTAGAGTTGGTCTGTCTTGCTATTCAACTTGAAAACTTGTCGTCGGTTGGGAAACACTGGTGTAAAGTAAGCAGGTAGTTCGTCCTCGAGGCTTTTAGTCCCGACCTAGCTGAAGTAGCGAGTATAAAACCGCGATAAAGAGGCAAATATAAAAGCAAGATTCTTTCACGTCGAACTTCTTGAATGGATCTCCCCCGTCGTGAGAGAACTTGCCGTTCTGACGTTGGACACAATGAACAGCGGGCTCTCACCTCGACGCGGATCGTGTTGCGCTAATTTCCTACAGGAACAAAGTAAAATGCATTTACCTTAGCGTGCGAAATACATCGACTGCGTGTCGATCGCATATCAAATTGCTCGGCTAAAAGTTACACTGCAATATAAGCACGAGCTTTTGTCGTTTACCGATGGATCGTATACAAATTATAATAATAATTGTTCTTCGTATGTAGGAGGAAATTTAAAGAAATTTTAACGATATACAGTCGCATTTTTTTTTTTATCAAGTACATGGAAATCAATTTTTCGTTAATTTCGCAATTTCGATTGATAAAAGATACACACATGTGCGAAATAAATAAATAATCTTTACTCATTTTTTTTAGCAACCGATCCGTCAACTCGGCAATGCCCCAATCTCGGTCGTTACGAAATCGTGTCGTTGTTTCGGCCACCGCATGCCGACATCGAGAACTTATTAACCGTCGATGGTGAGCAGAACGTTGCCAACGCAGCGGAGGTGCACGATGTGAGAATGCCATCCACGCCATTCCCAAGCCAATGTCATCACGGCAGTGTTCGCAGATTGGACATCGGTTGCAGGACACCCGATCGCATGGAGTTTGCTACATCCTGCAGCGACGAGGCATTATCCGGTAAGAATTATTCTTACCATCTGTCATATTTTTCGCGTTGTATTTATATCTTTTCTAGTTGCATCATTATGCGTCGCGTGTGCGATTAAATGAAGAATAAATCTTATTATTTACATGTATTATATCTCATTATGTTTCATTACGTATTTCACGAAGGACATTTGGGAAAAATCTTTCAATAAAAAAAATCTTTCTCTATTCTAAACTGGAGTAGAATAACTCTATTACTTGAACAGTAGTTGAGAAACATTCTCTCCTATCTTAGCATTAATTTGCTATTTAAAATTCTTATGAATTTAAATATTGCAATAGCTATATTAAATTTATTTCGTTCAGGAAAATTTTTTATTTATATTACGCTTCGAAGATTTCTTGATTCTTTCACTTAAGCGACCGAGGGAAGTTAATCAGAGAGATGTCTGATAGAAGTGATGGAGAGGATTTCATCCGTTAAGGACGACGAGTTGCTGAAGCATTTGGAAACTTCGACGGATTCTCGACATGTGACATAGGTCAGGACAGTTAACAGACATATTTCTCGTCGTCGTTATCGTCATCTTTGAATCTTTCGAGTTAGCTTTCTCTTATCCTCCGTGCAATAACTATAATAGATTTTTATCAAAAAGCTTGCGGTAAACGAGCTTCTGGGGACGCTGTCTTAACAATGACGGTTCGAAAGACTTGATGGACGCCATCCGTTGTCTTCGATAGCGTATTTGCAGAAGCTCTGTGGTTCAGCAGAATGTTCAGCGCCCGAGATGTTCAAGAGAAAGAGCTAAAGAGAGAGAAAGGAAGAGAGATAGGAGACTCGACACAACACGGACTGGAGCACGTCCGCCTGGAACATCTTATCGGATTACCCGCACTTCCTTCTCGTGTTCCGTACCATCCTAGTTCGCGCAAAGTTATCACAAGTGGTGATAGTTAGTTTGCGGAAAGGCAGCGGGTGTCACGGTTGCCGGAGAGTATAGAGCGCTTACTTACGTCCGCGCTAACTTTGTGCGCTTCGTTTGACTCTATACATAAAAATTGACACGCTATCTGAATTACGCTGCCGCGTGATTCGCTGTCATCTGAATTGGCGATTTTTACGAGATTCTCACTTCCCTTTTTTTCTCTCTTGCTACATTTAATATACAGAATGTTTCAATAAGTGCGAAAAATTTCAGGAGATGATTCTTTGTCGAAAATTAAGGAAGGTTTTTCATATAAACATACACTCCCTCCCTGTGGAGTTACACTTCTCCAAAAATGGGAGTAAAAATTAGGTTTTTATTATAATTTTGTTTTTGTTCCAATTTTTTTTTCCAACATTTACTCTAATTTCATTTTTATTTTAAAATTTAATTTCTCGTAATTCGAAACCTATGCTATTTGCTATTTAGTATCGTGCTGTGCACGATAATGTATTATTTTTTTTCTTGAAAATTATAAAAAAAATAAAAGAAATAAAAAAGTTTTTAAATAAATCAAACTTTTTAATGCATTTTTAGATGATCATATTCCGGCCCATTAAAAAATTCTAATAAAAAATTGAATAGGGGTTGCTAGTTTTATCCCTTTATAACAATACGGGAAGCTGAAAAAAATATTAATAAATAATCTTTTTACTAGTAAGAAATATTTAATTTTATTTCTTTAACTTGTTCCAAATTTGAAAAGAAAATAAAAACCTAATTTTTACCCCCATTTCTGGAGGAGTGTAACTCCACAGGAAGGGATATAGGAATATATGTTTATATGAAAAATCCCTCTTAATTTTCGATTTCAAAGAATCATGTCCTAAAATTTTTCGCACTTATTAAGAAATACCCTGTATATTGAAAATAGCTTAATTAATAATAAATTGTACGCTGCAAGCATTATTGTACGTATTATAGAGATCCATTAATTCTGATGGGATATCCATTTACATATTTATAAACAATCAATCAAGATATTCTACTGTACTGGATTGTATTATATTATATTTTAATATCTCCTTGTGTATATAAACGTCACTGTAAACCGTATGTTTATCTCGATAACAGAACTACAATAGTAATAACCAAGTTTCAAAATAATGCCGAATGATTTCCGGATTAACTGGATTTCTGGAAAGATATAGAACGCAGTTTATATTCAGTCCTCCCCCTGCGAATATAAACGATACGAACGCGTAACATGTGCGAAGCCGATGGTGTATCTCTGTAATCCGCGAGAAATACGTTGATACATTACAGAACCGGCACGGTGAGGAGCATTTTGTCAGCCGGAAATTATTTTAGCGGCGCGAGTTGTACCGGAACATGTTGACACAACCGAGGATTTAGACACTCGAGTCCCGTGTCTCGCAACTGTCGACACGGGATTGTATTTCGAGACACGGATACCAACGATGAGGACGACGACAATGACGATAAGAAGACAAAACAACCATTAAGACTTCGTATAAATAGCCTCAGTTTGCTCACTTCGAATCTCGCTTGAATCTCGCGAGTGCAATCATTAATCGCGCCTTAAATGGCCTTAATACGTATCCGTAAAATCAAGATCGTTGTAAAAGATGATGAGAAAAGATACATGCTCAAATAATTTAATTTTTCTGACTAATGGGAAGCTTCGACGAATTTAAAGCCACATCATTTAAGGCTTTATTTTAATTTCTATCGCGAGCTCGTTCTATTCCCTTGAATAGATAGGGGTTGATGTTCGACCGGTGGACGCAATCGAATTCTTTTAGAGTTATCGTATCTTTGCAAAACAACAGGTAGAAAATTCTATATTTATTCTGATACGTCAACGTCGCTTACCACGTTTTTTTTATTTTTTTTTTTTTTACCGTTGATAGGTGCCATCACCCATCGTTGAACACGATGCGCGGTCTCGCGTTTCCTCTTTACGCGAAGTCACGAGCTGTCGAGCGACCGCAGTAAATTCTCATCTTACTATCTTGCAAGTACGATCGGGTATCGTCGCTCGAAACGTCACGCCTGATATCGATGTGTCGGCAGGATTTATGACTCTCGTTTATTCCTCTTTCGTTCTCGCGCGCATTGTTACGGAAGGCGCAGAAGCAAGTGCCGTAGAAATGATGACATAAAAGTAGCTTTTGAAACGATCGAATCACATTTCTCCCTCTTTTTATCGGACACGTTAATTGAATGGTTGAGAGGGACTATAGTTATCTCATCCACCAGGAAACGAAACTGTTATAAAAACGTTGCGAGCGATAAATTCAGCATTTGATGAAATTTGACAATTTATTTTCACAATTTCAAAGTACGATATTAACGTCAAGAGAGCCAGACGAGAGACTACTTGATTTAATATAACGCAGGATACTTATACTTTTTATTATTAACTTTTATTATTAATTTTGTTATTTTATTATTCCGTATACTTTTTATTATTAATTAATTTATTACAGTTTTTTTAATGTAATTATTAAATTTCTCGATATACAATAATTATATATTTTCTTTCTTTTTGCATGATATTATAAATATGCATCTTTCTCAGGATCGAGGAACATAAACTTAACAATGGCAAAGAATGAAAGCAAATCTCATCAACGACTTATGACTTTTTCCAGGTGCTCCGTCAGATTCAGATCCCTAGTTTAGTATGTTATTGTCGTCAGCCTTCTTTAAATCGTCTTAAAAAAAAAAAACTTTTATATCATAGCGCAAAGTTATTACTCGTAATCTCACTCTACCTCGTACCACTTCAAAAATATCGAGGGGTTTAATTCGACTTTGCGGCGATGGTCTTCTTAACTCGGCGTCTATCGCGCGGAAAATAAATTGCGATCGTTTTTTTCGCTTCGTTCACAGCCAATGTCGTTTCGTTTCCAGAGTACTTATGCCACGGAACTTGGATCGAAAACGATACCGCTTACTTGGTGGCTAGCACCGATGTCGGACGTTACTGCCTCGTTTATAGCGCGTCCGCCGCGACGACAGGAAGTCGTGAACTCTCGGTGACGGGCCATCTCGCTTCCTGTCCGAGGGCCTCTCATCGCCATCCAGTCTCGTGGCAGGTGAACCTCACGTCGTACGGTGAGCATTGTTCATTCTGAATGCAACACGCGTCTCCACGCGCGAAAATTTCACTGTTTGCGAAATTCTTCGCTAACTCTAACTCTTTCTAATTATAACTTTTTTTAAATGGTGTCATATATAAGTTGTCGACTTTGTCGACATTCATTGAAAAAAGTCTGGCTAATTTAAAAAATTTAATTTCACGAGAAACTTTTTGTTCGAAATTTAACAAAATAAATTTTTCCCTCAGCTCGCGCTTCTACATCTGTTCCTAGGTCTTGCTTGTTTCTATACAATTTTTATAAATATAAAATATAATTTTTAAAAAATATAAATAATATTAATTATATATTTCAGCTCAATGCGGTGATATTTCGTCGGCGACCACGTGGGCGCTTCGGGTGCCGGCGCCTCTTCTTTATATTGTCCTTCTCGGCGCGCTCCTCGCCAGATATATCGCGAGGTGATGCCACTGAGCCGAAACGCGCCACACATCCGTGGCAATATAGTTGAAAGAGACTTTTATTGCGATCTTGCGTTTGTGGTGATTATATATATAACGTTCTGGGAGACAGAGGTAAAACTAATAATCAATCTTAGGGTATAAGTGAGCGCGGGATGCGTGAGGTGAGTGAAGTGATTAAGAAAAATAAAAGAGACAAGTCGGAAACGGGTAAGGTATATATACATAATATATAAATGCATGTGCCAGGCCCGCGAATGTGGCAGAGTCGAGTCCGGAAGCGAGGCTTTACGAATGTACATAAAAATCGATGCATCCACGAAATACGATCTCCCTGTGCACGTTCCTACGCTACGAGAGATCGATCGAAATGATGATAATATTATTGCAGAAAGCATTATTATGAGAGAAACTTTGTTATCTTATTATGAAAATAAGAATATTACAAAAGGATAACATAATCATTTAATAAAGTTTGCATTATTGTGATATAATGATACCTATTCATAAATTGTAATTAAATAGGAATTTATTGCTAGAGAATGTGATTTTATGCAGCAGCTACAAAATATATTCCTCCCTCTCATTCCAATCCTGTTAATAACTGCAATTACGGAAATTAGCTCTTTTCATTATCACGCTCGAATACCATGATTGTTACAGTTACGTTAAATATGCCGAATTCGTTCTCTTCGTTTATTACGTTCGTGTAACAGAGAACCTTGTTACATTTCTCATAGCAAGAACACGAAGCGAGAGCGTGTTGCGTGGTGGCTGTTTTCATAGATAGAATCGGCGGTGGATTTGTGTTACTATATAATGGAATACGTTTGCCTTTGAAGATGCGAGAAACGACGACTTAATGATGCAAATATTGAGTTTCGCGAAAAATGCTGCCTTCGAGGCCGCGAGACCGGAAATAATGAACAATACACTCGGGCCCGAGATTTATGCTTTCATCTTTCAAGAATGATATCTCATTACGAGATTCATTCACCATCTAATCTTGTTTTACAACAGCTGAATATTGTAAAAATTCTTCTCCATTCGGTATTTTTTAGATATATAAACAAGCTTTACTCAAAAAGAAATTATTTTCATGTAAACTTCACTATCTAATTTTATTCGATATAACGCAATCTTCTTGCGCTTGTATTAGTCGTCGCGTGAAATGATATAATAATAAAAGAAAATAAGGGTGCTGGGGCCAATATTATACGATACGAGTGTTGCTCATAGATTGAGAGGAAGTAAAAGCGAGAGAAAGGACGTGATAGATCTATAACCACTTATTTAGAAGTAGCTCCACAGCCACTGCCACATTCGCTGGACACATTCGACGCTTTTAAGCGCGAAACATGTACTTATTTAGGGAAGAATAAAAAACTGCCACGTCCAACTTGTAATTATATACGCATTTCCATTAAAAGCTTCGTGGCACGAATCTCTCTTTGCCGAGAAGCAGAGGCTGTAAAAAGGAGAAAAAAAAAAGGAAAAAGCTGTACGAACGATTATTACTGTAATTATTACTACTATCACTGTTAGTACGATAAGGCAGAATAATGGACGAAGAAACGGACTCCTTACTCCTATAAAGAATCTCTCATTTTCTTTTGTACATCTCGCGGGAGAGATAGTTATCAGAGGAGCGTTTAGTCTGTAAGCTCTCTGTAAAAACGTTACATTGATCCGCTATTGAACTTTAATCCTCGTGCGATAAATGTGAGGTTGAAACCGGCTGTACGCCATCGAAAGTTTCTATAAAGAGAAAGAAATCGAAAAATCTCGACCGCGCGAATCCTATTGCGAATAATCGTAACGAAAACGTACCAACAAGAAAGATTTCAAATGATAACACAATCTGAAATAAATATAAAATATTATTGCTATCAATCTCATTTTCTTTGATGTAAAAATATCAAATTTGCAAACGATTTTAATGTGTAATGCGTGATTAATGAAGTTCAATAACGAATGTAAAAAGCGGCTTTAACAAATGTTTGCTTAATATTTGAATAATTTAACTCAATCAGAATTTTTGCAAAAAAATAATTTGTTTTTTAATAAGATACTAAATGATATACCGAAGCTATATAACATAAAAAAGTGCAATTTAAAATAAATATATTATTCGATTTAGTTATTGAATAATGCAACAAAAATGTGCAGCAGAAAATCATTGCAATACAACATATCGTTATCAAGAGAGTAAAGAAACAGTAGATTAAGTTGCATGTAATAAATAATGTTTGAGTTTTCTTTTCAAAAATTTAGATTTATAATTTCATGTGATTTTTAAGATAGTGATATATTCGGAAAGAATCTGAAATTAGCAAAAGAGATTCTAAATTTTCTGTGATTTCTTAGAATTGATATTTACTGAGGGTAAACTATTTTAACATTACATAGACGTCTTTTGAAAAATTAATTAATTGAGTTAATTATATATTGGTTACAAAACACAAAATATTTAGTTAAATATATACTAAAACATTGAGAGTTACTGTAAAAAGAAGACAGAGAGGTTTTTATAAGACGGTGCGATCGTTTGATACGATTCTCCAACAAAACCAATGTGTCGACAAAATATACATATTTTTTATTCAAAATATTTTACTTACGGGCTTTCGCAAAACGGAGGGCGGGAGAGGTATTTGACCGCGTATTAATCGATTATACATATACATGTGGGGACAGCTAGATATATATGCAAATATAAATATATAAATATAAATACTATAAATATATATAATACGCGACAATTCAATGTTGGCTATAAATTGTACACTATTAGATAAAATGAACAAGCTATAGGGAAACAATGAAAGAGATAATGGATATAGGTGACGATCAAAAGACAGTATTCAATCAACAGCATTCATTCGATTGCTTCCCACTGTGCTTAATCCTTTACTGAGAATATGCCATGTATGCGACAGAAATTAATTGTTTTAATTTTTTTTACAGTAAAGGATTGTATAATGTATATTATGTCTCTAATATTGACGAGATTGCATCCTCTGTAGTCAGGGATTGCAAATTGCGTGCGAAGTTTCTCCAGAACGTTATCGATAGATTTCAGAGTGCCGGCTGTTCTAACTGCCGTAAAGATACAGCTATTGTCTTTCCTCAGACGCAACCGTGATCCTCGAGATACGTACATTACGTTTCGTGCCCTGTCAGTTAGTGTTCTATAATGTATATCAAGCTAGTATCATCTTGGTTCTACAAAGTAGCTACTAGTATTGTGCAGTATCAGCAAAACACGAAATATACGAACCATCTTGCGGACTAGGTTGCATCTTAGGATTGAAAGCTGCGGGAAATTACTTGTACATAATAGACTTAAAGGATTCGAATAGTGACAAATACGATCGAGTGTCGAATTTCGCATCGATACGACGAGATACTCAGTGTAAAAAGAAGAGGAAGAAAGAGAACAAGCTGGAGGTGAATTCAATTTTATGATAGATCGCGAGAGTGTAGATTTCAGGGTATTTATATCGAAGGTTACATAGTTATATATGCAAATATACAGAAATATTTAAAGATAAATTATATTGTGAAAAAATATATATATATACTACGTTTTTATTGTTGTAAAGTTGGAACCGAGACGTCGACAAGAACAGACTCTGTTCTTGTGATTACCTTGTATAGTCCGTGTAGTTGCACTCGTGTTTGCTATTAAGTTGCCTCTGTCATCCTGTAATAACGATATTCGATTTCGCATCGCGAAATAGTTCTTTTTTTTTAAACGTTCGAATCAAATGTGTAAGATGTGTCGCGAGAGAAAACTGTCGCTTTTTCTTCATTTCGTCGCTTGTCTCGAATTTGTGTACGTGGCAAAGATTTTTAAAAGAGATTTTCTTAAAAAACGACAAGCATTACATGCAATGTGTATTTAAGAAAATTGTCAAAAAATTGTCGATATTATTCCTATTTACCGGTGCATGAAGAAGAATTAAATAACGTTTAAGCGATTGAACAAATTTATCAAATCCGGATATTTATAATGAAAACCGCGCAGGAAGACTCATTCCTGTTCTCCTTATGCAATGTAACCGAACATGCGCACACGTTACTACCTGTAGAAAATACGACACAACGATTATTACCGTCTCTAGTCTTAGCGAGAGTTGTTTGGTAATTTTAATTATTTTTCGTATAAGAAAGAAAAGAACGGGGCGCCGCTAACTGATATTTAAGCATGCGAATTGATTTGCGGGATCGAGGATGACGAAGAATTTCTCCTTGCGGCCTTCCATTCTCGAATCGGATGCAGAAGAAATCTGGTCGACTTCGGCATTTTTATCTGCGTGAACGAATCCGGATGTATCTCGAGGCTTCCTCTTTCCGTTACGATTCGCGACGTGTTATCCTTATCGATAGCGTACGGCTCGGTGATTTAGCGCCCTTCGAATTTCAATTGGAGGCAGCGTTACTGTACACAATTTAAGGCATCTCAATATACCCGCAATAACGACGATAGATTAAGAATAATCTTTCACGGTGTAAAGTCACCCGATACACTTTTCACTAAGGAATATGTCGGCTTATGTACGTACGTGCGTATGAGCGGATAATAAAATGAGAAGTTAAAGGAAGACGACATCGATTTTATTGAAATTACTATTGTATGTAACTATAATGAAGGGGAAGAGAGAGAAACTATGCAGAGAGTCGACGAAAATGTTTTGCACCGTGACACGCGCGATCTGATGGTACTACTACTCTAAAAATTTCCACACGCTTGAAAGCTATCGAGAATCTATAAATAACTGAGTGTTTTACTATTGGATTAAAATATTACAATGATACCTATTAATGTAAATGGTTTTTCATTATTATATTATTATTATTATTATATTATAGATGTTATACTTAATAATATATTTACAAATAAATTAAGACGAATCCGTAGTTTTATTCTTTACTCCATCGCCTCCTATTTTTTTTTTTCGTAATTTGAGAATTAATTGCAATTAGAATCAAAGACCTAGATATTTTTATACATTTTCTTTTAATATTTAAAATAAGTTATAAATTATTCCATAAAAAAAATCTTGTGATAAATGTTGAAATGTTTTACATATGCATATCAAATATTTTTATAATTATTTATATATTTTTTCAAGTTGTTGAAATGGCACGAAGAAAGAAAGAGTAAGAATTCCGACAATAAATATGTTTTATTACACATATATCTCGTACGACGATTACACGATATTAATACATTCATTTAACTGTCCAGCAATCAAACAAGGTATTTTTATTTTTCTCTCCTCGTCATCTCATCACCGTTATATAATTCTATTATTACTAGATACTGTTACACACATCTCATTGAATCACAATGCGATTTGTTTATATTCGCAAAAACATTGAATCGCCACTTCTCACGTGCTTGTGAATAATAATTTATTTTCGCGTTCTTTTTCCTTATTTTTTGAATCTCTGACAAACAATCAAGATCGCTATGTACAGAAGACACCAGTTTCAACTGCTGCTGCTCAAATAACGATGTTTTAATTACGATAAATCGAATTAATTCAATGAGATTTATATAACAAGTCATATTTTGTGTGGCGTGTTTCTTTATATTTGTACCTGCGCGCATACCCGCGAGATCCATCGAGACGAGCGACAAGAAAACATTACGGAAAAAAGAACGAGTGCGTTTCCGCTCGTCCACGCCAAAATACAATCAAAGGCGCACTCGCACTAAATTAAAAAGATTACCGTTTAATCGAATACTTTCGCCGAGTTTCCAGTTCGGCGTCAATGCAGAGGTACATCATCGATAACACTTCATCGTCCCTTCTTCTACTTCTCCTCGTTCAAATAACGTTGCCTCGTGAAGCGAACGTAATCTCGATTCGTTTGCGTAGTGAGTGTTATCGTTAACTAGTAAATCAGTATCTTTCTTATCGCGCTTTAATCATTATTATTACTGTTAATATTATGATCATTATCAGTAATTATTATTATTATATTATTATTATTATAACCTCGTTGCTTACGCCCTAAAAACTTCGTTAAGTTAACTCTCCTTCTTGACTTAACAATTGTAGTCGCGGACTCTTGTGAACCTCGGAGTTTTCTTACAAGCTAAACTTGGTGGCCAGCACCAAACACTCACTAGATCACTGTCTACAACACACATAGAGATTTTGCTTTCTCCGTAGTATTTTTTTCTTTTTTCTTTTTTATTATGCGATTATAAGGTAATTCCCTTAACGTGATTAAGAAATGTATGATTATATGAGCCCGAGCTATCACCGCTTATACACGCCTAATCAGACACCAAATTTCTTTCTCCACGCAGTCGATGGCAAGCTTTACGATTTAAATAGTTATAATATTAATTTTGGTTTAGGCTGATCTTCGGTTTACACTCGGTCATTAAAAAGACGTGTTTCACATTCATTTCCCTGATATTATCGAGGCGCGCAATTGTCATCATTTCACCAATACGACGAAATTAAAGATTAGTCAAAAAGAGGAAGAGAATAATCTTCGTGGGATGTCAACAATTTTGTACATTAAGAAGCACGACGAGATTGGCATTGTGAACGATCGGGCCTTTGAACGGCGATTTAATCGGCTCGATAATTTCAAATTCGCTTGGGGCAATCGCATTTTGAATACCGAATGAATTTGCAAATTTGAGCGATTCACGGACATCCGTGGCGAGAAGATGATTTCATTTTCACGTTCCACGCGAAATTCCAGAACGATTCGTTCACCGTCGCTGGAATATTTGTCGTCAGAAGACGTATTGGTGAACGGCACGCTCGGCAATCAACTTAACAATCACTTATATATTACTCTTTGGTTAAAAACATCTATCGATATATATCCTCGCGCGCAGTTGTAGTTGTACGTATTGCGTTTGTGTCATGTGTCTGTATATGTATGTTTCTTTATGTATATTTTTATTTGTGTATATATATTGTATACATATCGCAAGAAAAGAAAGCGTCTCGGTAATTAATTTTAATACAAGCTGAAAAGGCCAGCTCTCGACATAGTTGTGTATTAAAATTAATTGTCCCCTTATCTCGATGCCTTCCTTCCTCTCATTCTGCTGCTCGGTGCTCTCCCATTGATTACGCGAGTTGGAAAAAAATAGCGAATTAATCTCGCTTTTTTCTCGTAAATCATGTAAATGGTGAGTAATACTCTACGTGTTTGCTCTAGCATTTCCTTTATAGACACGCGGCTACTTCTGAATTCTCGTTTTCGATTACGAACAATTCAATTACGAATTTCTCTACATCTACAAAGCGAACATGACAAAATCTTACGATTAAAAAGACAGGTATCCTTCTCTCTACCGATAAGTAGGTGACTATTTGAATGACCGTCGAAGAACCAAAAAGATGAACGCCTAATGATATTGAGTATCCGCTTAATTGTTCTCTCCATTTCATTTATTTCTTTCTGATGTATCGTATGTATCGGATAACGTATTCTTGATCCATTCGATATCGCGTATGTAATTTTGAACATCGATTATTGTGGGACATTTCGATTATTCGCAAAATTGAATCATAACAGATTGTTGAATTTACAACATGATGTCATATCGTAACACAAGAAACAAATTGATGAGCGCATTTGGAATTTCTGTCATATGCAAATAAATCTCAATTGACTCACGATAATTTCTGTGCGACGTTTGAAACGTTCAAGAAGAAGACAGTGACATCAATTTGTTCGCTAATATGCTTCGGCTAGAATCCATTGTATATATTGTTGATATGTTGTTGAGGATCCTGCATAGTTTTGGAAGAGAGGCTTCTTCCAGCCTTCGACGGCGGCACATCTTCATATGTCAAAAAAAAAAGATGATGGATTGATACACGATGGACGATCACCGTCCCACAATCATCATCATCTTCGGTGTGTGCGTGTGTATAAGAAAACAAAAAACATCTTGCCACCCACTCGATATATATCGCAAACATGCAGCTGCCGCTTTTATTTGCGCAGGTACTTTGTGAAGAGATTCGCCCCTCCCGCTTGATAGAATTTGAATGAGATGCGGAGACGAAATTAGAACGACGACGACGACGACGACGACGACGGCAAAACGTGCTCCTTTCGCGTCGCTCGTTTCGGTCCAGCCGAAACATAGCGATCCTGACGCATTTTCGCACCTCCGTCATAATTCCGTCGTCGTCGGGACGTTATCTCTTGTTGCCTGATCGAGATGGCTCCCGTCATCTCAACCGCCTCCTCTCGTGGTCCGGCCAACGCGGCATAGGTCGATACAAAGGGACCGGCGGCTAGGCGCGGCTACGTGCAAATGTCACTGACGCACGCGCCACCAGCTCTGATGCACCTTCTCATGGAACTTTCTGCAAATCCCGGCGAGCCTCCGTCACATCCCAGCCTCTGTGACGTTTTCCCCCGTCTCACCGCCCGCGTCCTCGCCAGTAAATGTCGTCGATTCACCACCGCCGCCATCACTGCCGGTATCACCACCCTCTACCGCCTCGCCGGTCTCGTCGCCTTCTTCCAACGTCACTTGGAAATGTATCCTATCCTGCTGTTGCTGACTTTCATTCGTTGCTGGTTGTTGCGACTCATCGGACGGCGGCGAGGGAGGTATCATCGATTGATACCAATCACGGTTTTCCTCAAGAGTATCCAAAATCTCCTGCGCATCCGGATGTACCAGATCTGCCCAGGTCTCCCATAATGGATGCACGATATAATCAATGAAGCCGACCTGCGACTTCTCGATTGTAGCGCTATGTCGATCGCACATTGGACTTATATCCATGTTCTGTTCCCGTTCGCGGTCACCTTGTAGGAAGAACTCCTCCATCAGCAAACTCACCCATTGTCGGTAAAGTGGCAATGGTTTTGTTGGATTAGACAGATCGGCGCAGTGCACCAGGTTCTCCAGCACCTGAATGCGATCAGTATAATTATCGAGCAATAATACGCCAGAACCAGCGACTTTCTTCGTCTCCACCATGGTTTTTAGATCAGCCAACAATGACATATGTTTGGACATATCCGTCGAGAGAACCATATCAATAACCATCTTTCGCAACGTCTGCCGCTGTTTTTTCGTCATGTTCACGAATATATCGCAACCCTCGTTCTGCAAAAGCTTGAACGCGACTGCCAAATGATGATTCTCCAACACTGACTCGTCGTTATACATCAGCGCGAGCTCAGAGCCTGAAAAGAAAAGATATCATTAATTCTCTCTTCATTACTATAGAAACAAAAATAGAATAGAAATAGATATACAATAAAAACAAAAAGGTTATACACTTTCTTTTTTCTTTTGTATGATAAAAAGATATGAAATATACTATTTAAAATATAAATATATTATCTGTCGCAAATAAATAAATAAATAAATAACGAAAACTATTAAAAATTTTAACATGTCGATATTTACTTGAATTAATGAGGAACTGATTCGTGAGTCCTGGATGGTCTACATCATGGATAGAAGCCGCAAATAACGCAGCAGTAATCTCCAACGGTGTGAACACGGACTGTAATATAATAAACAACACATTACTTATAATGTATTATCACAGAATTATCACACTCTTGATGTTTCACTCTTGATTCTTCTTTTTATGAAGAATTAAATATATCGCACTCATTAATAGAAAATATATTTATAGCTAATTTATTATATAAGTGACAACAAGTTATTTCGAATTCTTGTTAGACAAACGGCATAATGCATAAAATAAAATATATATTATTTGTATACTAACCTCTAGGGCAGGCGTGTTGAGCAGAGTGTGAGTAGACTGGGTCACATCAGCTGCGTGGAGGCTATTGTGGAAAGGATTATCCTTCACATAATGATCTTCCAGGGTCATCATGAAGGTAACGAAGGTCTTGGGCGGTATTGCCAGCGATTTGAGCAGATCTCGACTTTGGAAGGCCGTGTACGCCACACAAGTGAGGGGTCGATTATTACTAAGTTCGCCTATCCTGAAGATGTCGATGCCCCATTTATCGATGTCCGAGAGCAACTGTAAATAATATATGACAACATTAATATGTGATATATGATAGTACACATATCGGTATTGTATAAGATATATTAATTAAATGTTTTATTTCCAAATGACAGCACAAGATATTATATCGCAATGAGACGTTGATTTATAAACGCAAACAATTCACTCATTAAGTGAAAGAAGTCGATGTGTTTCGGCTAAAGATAATAGAGGAGGTCTGGAATTATCGCTGAGAGGTCACACGTAGAGTTGATTATTAACGGACAACATTACACAGAAAGTCTCAGATTGTTTGTTTATAGTGATAATAAATTCGATAAAAATGAGACAAGTACGTTAGGTGAATGATTTCAAGAAGGAAAGATGTACAATTTTCAATATACTAAAACTGTTTATAAAATATAATTTTAATTGAGTAAATAACAACACTACAATTAGCTTTTATCATCGTTTTGCGAGTAATAATAATTTCGTTTCTGGACCAACATACATGGGAAGTATCAACTTAAACACCAAATGAAGTATTCATAACGCATTAAAAGAGCATTCTGAGACGGTTGAATCACTATTGCGTAGGCATAAAAAAAATGAGTCTGTGTCTAGGAAAGTCTGCAGGATCACGTAGCCATTTAAGGATACGCCTGCGTCGTATTTTAGTTTAATAAGCATATCGCCAACAGATCCTTCTACGAGAGATCCGATTAATATGCAGAATAGAAATGATACTACATCTAGTTGCCATTCTCCTTCTCCTTTTTCATTCAAAAAAATTTACCTTCATTATCATAATGGAAAGACCTTTATTGCTCTTCCATACAAAAATAAAATCTCTAAAAAAAACATACAAAGACAAAGGATAATTTTTAGAGCGGAAAGAATTAAATTTTCGACATTTATTCGATGCAATATTTAATAGAAATCAAAAGCGATTCTTTAAAACATTTATCAAATCTCGCTTAGTTTATCATAGATGCCATGGACGTCGATATCGCTCTCGTTGTTTGTAGAAGAGCCGAAAATGAGTTTTTTCTTCGTTTCTGCCACAAAAGATGCGTCGCTAATCGCCCGAGTTATTCAGGTTATCGAAACGGCATGACCTCGTCCCTAATGTTTCTGTCCGATTAAAATATGTACAACCACCAACCACTTTGTAATCTCGTATGCCACAGAGTAAACATTTTACTTTGTAAAAAGTCATCCACGCCGACACGTATTCCCCAGCGAAATCATAAATCGCAGAATCAAATAAAAAAGAAACACGAAAAAGACATCAATATGCACGATATGATATTCTCAAGACGATTTTGTTTCAGTAAAAGCAAAAATATCTTCAGCGAATTATAAGTTCTGATGTGCAAATCAATAATTATATCCAAATTCTTTACTATATTATTTCACTTAAAAAAATGGAATAGGAAATATCAACAAATAATATAAAAAAAAAATTCCGGTTATTCGACTTTAACTCCTCAAAATCCATTAAACTTTACTGCTAAGCGACTCCGTGACCGGTGCGATGCGTCATGACATTAAAAACAATCCTATTCTTTCCCGGTTTGATGTCCCTGGCGGTCCCTAATGGTTTGGAGGAAATGACGTTTCGCTCTCTGATGGAACTTTCTTTATATAATGAATAAACTCGGATTTATTCATTGCGTGAATCTCATCGTGTCCATGCACAACGATGCATGAAATTAAAAATAACGCGACAGTCGCTTGACATTATTATGCGTACAAAGCATATATCCTCTGAAGAAGAAGCATGATGAAAGTTCGGTCAACACGTTACACAGTTAATATAGACTCGACACAGTTAATGACATTGCGCAAACTTTGTGCGCGAACCGCTTTAATTACCGATCTCTCTAATCCGCAAGATCTTACCGCTGTTGATCCGATCTAATCCCTTTTTCCTCCCTGTCTCTCTCTTGCCTACTTTTCTCGGTGTGTCGTTATATCGTTATTCCGTGCACGTTAATGCTTTCGAAAAATTGGATGTACTGTAAATATTTGGCGATGGAGCATGTATTGTATGAAGGATATGGTTAGGGAATTTTTCAGAACCGAATAATATAGATATTGAGATTTATAAGATAACAATAACAGCCAAATAAAAGCCAAAAACACTGTAGAATTTTCGGTTTCGAGATGGAATTTATGTTAATAGTATGCGTCGATTTAAAATAAAAAAAAAAAAAAAAAAAATAAACGAAAAGGAACGGGATCACCGACGATAAAAATAGTAAACGAGGTTATTCACTGGGATAAATTTATCAAATCGAAACGTTTGCACGAAGGAACCTTTAGTTCTATATTTATCAGATTGTTCCATTAAAAGAAAATCTAAGAATGCTCTTAGATGCAGTCTAATTTGAAAAATAGAATACGATATGTTGCAAGAGGATTTTATTCCATGTAAAATTAAATTTTTTTATATTATTACCAATATGTTTTTCGTATGCGTGCAAGATTATATTTCTATATCAATTAAGAGCGTTTAAAATTATGTACATATAAATTAAAATAAATTAGTTTTTCGTAAATTGCGTAACACGTCACACATCATAATATCTTCATTGTTAATAAGAAAGAGCGGCACGTGTAATCCATTCTACATCGATTTTGGTATTGCATTTTGATTATAAAATCGGAAAACAAAGCAATTGTTAACAATATATATTGTACGATTTTAATGGGATTTACGCGATAATTGATTATTGAGATTCAATTATATTGTGTACGTAATTATTAAAAATTCGCTTAGTAAAATTTATTTTTTATTCATAACTAAATCAAGCTTTTCCAATTATGAAACAAATTATCAAGCACTTGTATTAAAGTTATGCATTATAGATACATGCATACATACATATATATAACATTATATATTAATAATTATAAACCTTCTATTAACAATCCTTTTCTTTTCAAAGAGTTTTACGATTATAATCAATAATATATAACAGATTACACGTGTATTTCCTCGTTAGGTTATCATTAGTATAATCCTGCATTAAATAAATCTCTATTCCATCGAACTCCTGTAATCAGCACGTAGGTGGATATCATTCCGGGAAATTCTATCAAAAGCCATGTTAGTACCTGACGATAATTAGTGTTTTCCAAGATTATAAGATAATATATCATACGTGGGCGCAATTCATCAAATCTCGGATACAACTAAAGATGCATAGGCGTAGATTATCTTTCACGAATATCAAGATTCAAATGTGAATGTAAATATTCTCCCTTTATAATATTTATTCTAAATGCAATCATGAAATGAATCGCGTTGTTAATATAAATAGAAAATAATATATATGTAATAATATATTGATTATTTAATCAATACGAAAGACATTTTATTTCCATTTTTCGAGATTTGTATATTTTCTTTTACGTAATAACAGTCAATAAAATTTTTATGAGCAACTTGAATTACAAAATCTCTTCATTTTTTCCTGTGATGTGACTAAGATATTTTTAACGATTCTAAAATTTCGAATTTAATTATTATACTCTTGTACGATGTGTATTTTTGCAGCAATTAATTTTGTTCTTTACCTTTTTGCCACATTTACGTTTACGGAATCCCCGCGATTTGCGATACCCAGCTGCGCGACGCTGCCTGGCATATACGTGAAAGAGTCGAAAACACCATTCGCGATACACGGTGGCGATAAAGGTATTAAAGGTCAAAGGATCACCTTGCCGAGGTCCTCCTCGTGCGGTGTTTCCACCCCGTGAACCGGCACGCGCTCCCCGGTGAAGCTGTTGGTATGTGTCAATGGCCGCTTCACACCGCTGATGTGTGACATAGCGGCGGGGCCCCTTTGTACACGATCCTTTTTCTTCGCCGCCCGTGCATCCACGCTGCCCGCAGCGGCGACCGCATCCTCGATTCGCAAAGATGGTAAGTCCAGCTCCTGTTGCTTGTCTAGAGAGAGGGCAGAAAGCGGAAGCGTGATTGGATAAGTTGATCGGTCAACTCTGTGATCGGCACTAAACTTGGCAGAACTTCCAATGATATCACGATAAAAAATATAATGTCAAGTTATATCGTGTGTAATATTTTATAAAAAAAGCGTAATGCATTTTTTTAAAATTTATGTAAAAACTAACAGATTAAATAATCGATATATGAATGTCATTTATTAAGGAGAATGTGGAGATTTAATTTATGTATGTACAAAATGACAACCACTTGCATTATATCTTTGATTGTAGATTATTCGATGCGCTTATTTATCAGCTTGTAGTTTGCGGCCAGATTAACCGATAAGTTCGAGTCAAACAACAGATGGCTGATAATTCGTGTCGTGTAACGTAACAATATTAACATGATTAAGAAAATTTATCATTAGGTTATAAGATTATGCAGTTGCATCATCAAACGTATCGATTCATTCATTGCGAAAGTCAGTCTTCTTCCGATTTCTTTCTGTTACGATATCAGAAAACTTTCGTTTTACAGCCGACGATCGAACGGAACTCGTTAGGAAGCTACGTAACGAAACTCGTTAAGGAAGCAACGTAATGAAATCAGCGCGTCGAACGAAGCTAAAAGGAGCACTGGATTACTCCGTTAAAGGCTAAGAAGAAACAATATTCAATAAAATATCGCGTCGTTTCAAGAAATACTTTGTGTTTTCTGCAGAACATTGTCTCGAGTACAAAGGGATCGATCTATGCTTTTTGGCTGATAAACCTTGCGTGACCATAACTGACAATTTGTTCATCGGACAAAGCGAGCTAACCACAATGAATGGTCATGGTGGTACCGGTTACGGTCTTTCAAGGGCTTTTAATGCGTAAGAGCGCTCGTTTTATTGCATCCGTAAAACTCGCTTCTGGCGATGACCTCGTTAGACACAGCAGTGTCGCGAATTTCTCGGCATTTGCTTTTTCTGGCATTTCGCGGAAACGTATATAGCTTTTTCTAGAAAAACGTCAATCTTTATTCTTTTCCTCCCAACCTACATAAATTTATACTTTACATAGGTTTATACATATATTATTACAATAACCTTTTGCGCGCATCAAAGTTTGAAGGATCACATTTTTCACTTACCAAGGAAGGTGCTGCAGATGTACTCCGAAATTTGATTGCCAGATTTGGATGACTCCGAGAAATGCGATAGCTCTTTGTTCAGCATTCTCTTGAACTGTAACAAGAAAAAGATGGAAGCGAATCATTAAAAGAGTCAGATCAATTTTAGAGAAAGAGTAATCAAGGATATAACTTGCTGATATATGAGTCAATAAATTACTGTGATAACGTATATTCATCATTTGTATTCATAAATAAATTCAATCGTATCGCATCCTAGACTTGAATATTCTACATCATCGAAAGAATATTCAACAATTTTCTACGACTTTATATGAAAGAAATTCTTTTTATGAAAGAAATTTAATTAGATTACCTGAGATAAAATCTGTCTCTTTATTAAACCGACCCAGGTATATATTCGCGAAAGGAAGAAAATCATGGCTATCCCGAGGATATTTACAATTATCACGGATAAGGATTTAAGAAACGGATAATGAATTGAAAAGCTAGCGCGAGATTTGCGAAAAAGGAGAGGAAAAAAACGAGGGAAAACCGATAAAGTCCGGATTTCGATAATCTGGGACGACCGGCAAAAATGTCCTCTCATTCCTGTAATTTTCTACCCTTATCTCGTCGCGAATATTTACGATATTTGTGCATGTCATCTCTCCGCCCACACACGCACAGGGAACACAAACGCAAACTCTCGCCAAATAATGCCGTTTCCGTTGGAATTTGCGCTTTCCGTTCTTATCAGAGCCGCTATCATCGCGTACATATATCATCTTTGCGATAAATGCAAATATATGTATTCATGCAAATATATACACACACACATATATATATACATATATTTGTGAGCCGGAGTAATGACCCGTACAGCGAAATTATTGAGTGATATAACACGTTAATTAATCCTCCGGGACCCGATACATTTTGCTCGCGCTTCGTTTCATCTCCAAGTCTCGTTATTTGACCACGATTTAATAAAAAAAAAAAATAACAAAATTGTCAATTCTACAAAATTAAAAACTGTCACGCGTCTTGAACAATTTTTTGATTCGTTATTTTATTATATTCGATAACTGCCCGATTCTGCGCGTTCTATTTTGTTGTTAACATTCGACCTTCTTTTGATAAAAATAAATAAATGCTTCGCATTATCGGACTAATTAGTTCAATTATCGTTTGTATAGCCTGTTTATTACGTATATATCTACCAAACGAGAATTAACCAGCGATAAAATATAACATTTGCGCATCGTCGTACTTTTTATACACATATACTTTATACGGCAATTATTACTATCGCTTTACGTAGTTATGATTATCTATACTTGTCGAAGTACGATAATTCCTACAATTCTGTTTGGGAAAAATCTTCAAATAACAAAGATAGGGAAAACGTCAACTGCAGCAGCCTTGTAAGAGACAAGAACATAAAAAAGGCGTGTCAGATTAATTCAAACGTCCTTTTACCAACAATTTTTACACGCATGTGTATATCATTTAGTATTTTTTTATCTTCCTAAATAACTCTAATTTTCGAAACGCTTTACATATCGATGTGTTTTTCCATTCGTCCTCAACGATTGATATGTTATCTTGTGAAACTTTGAAAGAAGCGACTATTCCAAGGTGCGAAATTGTTTGCTTTCATAAAATATTGGCATAATGTTTATCATAATGCGTATGTCATTTGTTCAAAACATAATATACTTTCTCTGCATGGTACCATAAAGATAAAGAGGATTTTGTAAGGTCTCAAGTAGATCGATGGAAAAAACCGAAAGTAATACGTGCGCTCGCGAGCAATAAATTGACGCGCGCTTACGTTCATTTCCCATTCTAATGCACAATAAGATTTTTTTTCTTAGGTACGACGAATTCAGCGAAAATCGAAATCCTGTTTAACGACGTGGCGTGCATCAAATACGACGCGAAACTAACGTTTGATTCGCGCGATCTCGTATCAAGTAGTCACACTGAGATTTCGCGAACGAACAAAGCGATCGTAAATTCATGGCATTATTTGCGGAATATAAATCTTGCGATAATTCCTAGTATATTATACCATAACGAGATGCTTCTGCAATAATATTTCGCTTTAAATGCGAAGTATTGTGTAAGGAGTTATATCACAGTTTGTCTAATTGTAAGCATTGTCGAAAATTTGAGCTACCTATGCACCTGGAAATAGATATCGAAATTTTATTTCTATCGAAATTCTACATTTGACAAGTTTACTTTTAATAAATCTTGTTTATTAAGTAAACGTAAGAAATGAGATTAATCTCGTTTTATCCTGAATATTATTGAAAGTTATTATATCATTAAAAATTAACGCGATCAAAACGTAATTAAATCACATTGACGTAATCAGATAAATGCAATAACGACAATAAAATTGATAATTACGAGTGATTAGTTTGTTTTATAGATAAGATAATAAAAATCGTTTAATTATATTAAAGACAAGATTTTTTTGAAATTACAAGAAAGTGTCGAGAGAGATGTAGATATTCTAATGTCTATATATAAATCCCGCATGATAAAAGATTATTCGAACTATTATGATAACATCAACGTTCTATTTGCGAGAATCACCTTTCCTTCATATAATTATCAATGAACTTTGATTGAAAGGTCGCAAAAGGTCAAGATTGCACCGACATTCCATAGTACTCTTGAACGCACATCGTTTTTATTAATCAGTCGTGATAATCGTATTGTTTCGCATGATTCATTGTCTTCGTCTAAAGTCTCGTTAAACTTTACGCGCTACTGTCATTTTTTATCAATTCTAGATTACATTAGTCAGTAGTTAAACTAACATCCTATTCAACAGAAAATGTTTCTTTCTTCCTTATATATATCTTTTATTACTTTTGCGATGAATTTTTCTTTTTTTCATTTTCATTTGTTTTTTATATTTATTTAATTTTTGTACTTCAAAAAATTTTTATACTAAAGTTATACATTTATTTATCTTCTACTCTTTGCTTTGATATAATCTTTAAGATGAAATATTTCTTATTATTATGAAAGTAAAACAAGCATCCGGTGCCGCATCATTGTGTCTGGCACGAATATATTTCATCAAATTTAATTTAATTCGCATAAGAAGTACTTTTTTTTAATTCGGATATTTGCAAGTATAAAGAACCGTGAACGGACGGAATATTAAATCGCGAAAACATGAATCTCAATACTCCGCGCGTTCTTTGACGTGAATAAAACCGCAAGTGCAGTTTCATTATTACGAAGACGCGCATGAATCATTAATTAAGGCCGATTGCTTGACCCTATATAACTTTATCTGCCATATCTCTCGCTGGCGATAATACAATCTCCCGTTTGTTCATTCGTGGATAATCATATCCATCTATATCTATTAGTTTTCGTCATATCTTTTTAGGTAAACGTTTCACAATTTCGATATAAGTTTGCAAAAGGAATCTTTTAGCATCACTAAAAATTTATGGGACACAAAATATTTATAATGTATAACGTGTATCAAAATCTCAGACAAAGTTAAAAGATAATTCTTGGAAAGCGACACGAGCAATGATCTCTGCTCGATAATCTGTTCTCTATCTGTTTTCTTCGTAATTCGTCTCCAAGTTGAATCATTCATTCATTATTTCAACTGCTAATCGAGATTAATCGCCACCCTCATCCGAGATAATGCTAGTACCTCGAGAGCTTTCACAGAAAGCTCTCGATAAGATTCAAAGTATTGATACGTCTGACAGTTAGACAGAAGAACACGTGCGGCTATCGATAACATGATCTATTATTGGACAATAAGTATACCTGTCATCTCGCGATACCTCTGTTATTCTTCATCGTTGAATGATTTTGCGATAATTTAGAATTCAGGTCACACCATGAAAATGCATCGCCAAATAATTTCACCAGCCATTCGTTATCCTCCGTTGTGACATGCGTTTATTACGACAACAACAGCAGTAATAAACGAATGTTCCCACGCGATCGATCGTCTTTCGAGATATATATTGTAGCTTTTATTTGCCTGAATCACTGTGACAGATGGTCATTACGATGAAATCTATCGAGATCCGTTGATAAAATCGGATATTATAGATACTGGCTTATTGCGTTTTTTTAGTAACTTCCTCGATTATATAACTAATTTCATTAATTAAATGCAACGTAATTCAACTCTGTTAAAAGTGATTATGGCCCATTGGAAATTGATGAGCTTATGTCAGATTAATTTGAATATAATTAATATAATATTTAATATCTCTTTTCATTCTCTTAATGATTATATTTTACAAGTTGAACATTAATTTTACCGCTATAGTTTATAAAATTAATCGAAATACATGTCGGGAATACACGCTAAATGTCCCGGAAGAAATCAATGCCTGCTCGCATACGTCATGTCGATTATCAAACAATCTCGAAATTACCTGCACCGCCATGATGCTAGCTATTGCCGTGAGATCCGCCAGAGTCGTCAGATAATTGAAGTACCTAGCGGACTTGTTTATGTTATTTGTTTTCATTTCACCGTTTGTCGTCTGCGGCATCATTATGCGATTTATTCAGCTCCAGCTGCTAGTACACGGTTTCACACTTGACAATTTTCCCGTGAAAAACTCGAGGAAGAGTCACTGACCGCCGCGTTCGCGTGCAACAACTATGACAAGACAAACGTCTATCAGGCCACGACGCGAGAGAGCTGACTTTCACGAGGATCGATTAACAGAAACGGGTCTCGTGGATCGAATCTGCTCCGATTCCAGACTACCCGATAGTTTCTCGATCGGAGAACAACGTGAATCGTGATGTATCGGCAAGAACTGCTCCAATTCCAGTCCTGACGTCGATTCGCGATGACGCGGAGAAGAGTCACGGACTCTGCGAGAGCACTTTCTGATTCACCGACACATCCACAGCTCACTCGTAAATGCCTGGCAAGTGGCGGAGGCTGCGAGCCGTCCGCCTGCTAAATGTTGTCTACGCGTCTGAATCGGAATGCCAGGCTTTTTATCTCGGCGCCCCGCGTGTCAGTCCCGTCTCTACTGCTTATTTTGGCTCTCCCTCCCGCTCACATTTCATACATGTCGGTGTCTCTCTTCG